ACCTAGATTTGGGTCTATCTTCCTCCTGGACCCACTTGAAGGATTCAGTCTCTACATAGTCCAAATAGATACAAGGTCACAAGACATTCATGAGAAAAGATGAGTTCACTGGTGATTTACATGGTAGTAGGGAATAGATTCCCATGATCAGAACCCAACAGACATTTCATCATTAGACACCGCTACTCTGGCTCCATTCTTTTTCCATTCCAGCCTCCATAACAGAAGTCTCACAACGCATAAAGGAATCCCTTTGGGGCACCTGGGTGGTTTAGTTGGTTGAGCATCTGCCTTTGGCTCAGGTCGGGATCTTGGGGTCACATGGGATCAAGTCCCATGCGGGGCTCCTCGCTCAATAGGGAGTCTGCTTCTCTTTCTCCCTCTGCCCACCCCCCAGCTCATGTGCATATTCTTTCTCTCTCAAATAAATAAATAAAGTCTGGGAAAAAAAAAGGGAATCCTTTTTATCATTCTAAGTGATTCAACTCTTGAACCTGACCTCTAGATATGACCAAAAAAAAAAAACAAAAAAAAAAACATACAAAAAATCCAAGCCTGACATTTAAGTAAATAGGTAAAGAAGAATCAGAATCAGTTATTCCCTTAACACATCCTTTGGTGGCTCATTTATCCTCAGACATCTTTAGCTCCAATACAGTGGGCCAAGGATGAGCATTTGTGGACTGGGCCTACCATTGCTGCCCATCACAAAAGCACTGCCACTTCTTACATCCTTCAAAACATGTACAAGTTTATCCCAAGCCAATAAACTATCATAAAATTAGCTCCAAAGCAGCATTGTTCCTGGGGTGCTGAGTGAATGCAAATGCAAAACCACTTTGTAAGGCTATTTCCCCAACACAGACCACACAAAATTTCTACACGGGAAAAAAATCCCACTGCAAATGATCCCACAGCCAAACATTATAAAACATATGGAAAATAATCCACCATGAACAAGAGCAAGCAAACACAAAACACGGGAGGATTCGCATTCCCAAAACTTTAGCTAAGGGGAGCCAACTGAAAAAGACTATATAAAATAAATACGTTTAAAATAATTGAAGAGACCAGAGGAAAAATAGGAATCATAAGACAATATAAAAAATCATAAAATAGGGCAGAGATATTTGAAAAACGAACATAACTTTAGAAATTAACAAAATATATAGAGCCATTAAAATGTACAACGTAGAGCATGAGCTGAATCAGATTAAGAGAGCTGGAGGGAGACTAAGTGAGCAGGAAGACGTACATGAGGAAATCACCCAGGAGGCAACTTAGATGAATTAAGCACTCAAAACTATGAAAAACAAGAGACCAGGAGACCAGACATCAAAACATGTTATGTATAACACATTTTGTAACATATGCATTAATGTATTATATATAATATGCTATATATTATATACGTTTACATATATTTTCTATATTTTTATATCTAATACAGTACATGGATTTTTAGAGGAAAGAATGGAGAAAATAGGGTTATGCAATATCAGGAACATTTTTGGCTGAGAGTTTTTCAGAACCAAAGGAAAACCTTAATTTTCAAAAGAAATAATAGCACATTGAACTTCTAAACAGGTAAGTAAAAATTAACCTATACTGAGACACCATATGGTAGACATGCAAGACCACAAAGAAGAGAGACAATCAAAGTCAACTGGAGAGAAAAAATGGGATTCCCAGAAAGGATGATGTTGAGACTGATGGAGAACTCCTAATACCAATAAGAGGAGCCAGAAGACAGAGGCATGTTACCTTCAAATCACTGAGAGGAAATAACTATGAATTTAAAACCCTGCTTGCAGCCAAACCATAATGCAAGGACAAGGATAAAACTGACATTTTCAGACAGACTTAGAGATTTTCTCATTCATGGGCCCACCTGCAAGTAATGCTAATGAATATATTTCAGGAGAAAGGAAATTAAATCAACAAGGGTAGGTGAAATGCCAGAAGCAATTGTGAGCAAATAAACCAGTACACTTGTAGGTAAATACATGTAAGTGCTGACTTATTTATAATTCACAGTGACTATAATAATAATGGGTACTAGGGGGAGGTTAAAGACAGGCAGAACGGGGGCTCCTGGATGGCTAAGTGGGTTGAGCCTCTGCCTTCGGCTCAGGTCATGATCTCAGGGTCCTGGGATCGAGTCCCACATCGGGCTCTCTGCTTGGCAGGGAGCCTGCTTTCTCCTCTCTCTCTCTGCCTGCCTATCTACCTACTTGTGATCTCTCTCTGTCAAATAAATAAATAAAATCTTAAAAAAAAAAAGACAGGCAGAACGGAAGTATGGGTCAACAAAACATGGAAGATGGAAGAGGACAGTGAGTAGTAAAACATCTCAGCACCCTTACTTTGTTCTGTTGGAGAATAAAGACATTCATCAGCTTTAGGGATTGTGAAGTCATAGATCAGTGTTAAAATGTAAGGGCAAGGGTGAGGCATACTGTGTTCATGGACTGGCAGACTCCATAAACATGTCCAGTATCTCCAAACTGATCTATGAATTTAATGCAATTCTAAATAAAAATTCCAGAAGCATTTTTTAAGGTAGAGACAAGCTGATGATAAAGTTTTTATGGGGAGGCAAATGAATAAGAATAGATAAAACAATTTTGAAAAAGAAGAAAGTTAGAGGAACCATAGTACCCAATTTTAAGTCTCAACTACGAAGTTACAGTAATCATGACAGTGTGAGAGTGGGAAAGAACAGACACAGAGACTAATGGAAAAGAACAGAAAGTCTAGAAAAAGACCCACACGAGTATAATCAATTGATTTTTAATAACGATGTAAAAATTTTAAGTGGAGAAAAGGTAGTCTTTTTTTTTTTTTTTTTAGATTTGATTTATTTATTTGAGAGAGAGAGCACAAGCAGAGGGGACACCAGGCAAGGGAGAAGCAGGCTCCTGACTGAGTAGGGAGCTCAATGCAGGGCTTGATCCCAGGACCCTGGGATCATGACCTAAGCTAAAGGCAGCTTAACTGACTGAGCCACCCAGGTACCCCAAAAGATAATCTTTTTGGTGAATGATGCTAAAACAATTTAACATCCATATGCAATAAGAAGAAAAAGAATCTTATAGAAAATTAACTCAAATTAATCATAGATCTAAATGTAAGTGGGAAGCTATAAAACTTAAGGAAAAAAAAAAAAAACATGTATAGGAGAAAATCTTCCTGACCTGGAACTAATCAAAGAGTTCTTAAATGTGTACCAAAAGCATGATCTATTAAAGAAAAAAGAATTATAAGTTGTATTTCATCAAAATGAAAAACTTTTGCTTTGCAAATGACAGTTTTAAAAGAATGTAAAAGATAAGCTAAGACCTGGGAGAAAATATTTGCAAAATGGAATAAGCTAGATACAAAAGGACATATATTGTATGATTCCACTTACATGAAATATCTAGAATGGGCAAACTCACAGAAAGCAAATTAGAAATAACCAGATGCTGGGGAGAGAGAGGAGTGGAGAGTTACTACTTAATGGGTACAGTATCTGTTTGGAATTGATGAAAAAAAATTGGAAATAGCGGTGATAGTTGCAAAGTATTGTGAATATAATTAATGCCTCTGAATGTATACTTCCTAGTTAAGATGGCAATTTTTATGTTTTCTTTTTAAGATTTTATTTATTTCAGACAGAGAGAGAGAGCATGAGTCGGGAGAAAGAGTAGAGGCAGAAGTGAACTCCTCACTGAGCAGTGAGCCCAACATGGGCTTATTCCCAAGACTCTAGGATCATGACCTGAACCAAAGGCAGATGCTTAACTGACTGAGCCACCCAGGTGTCCCAACATTTATGCTTTATATATACTATATATACTTTACCACAATTAAAAAATAACATGAGAGGGGCTCCTGGGTGACTTAGTTGGTTAAGCCTCTGACTCTTAATCTCAGTTTAGGTCTTGATCTCAGGGTCATGACTTCAAGCCCTATGGTGTGAAGCCTACTTGAAAACACAGAAACACACACACACACACACACCCCAAAACCATAATATACCAAAACCCTGGGCTGTATACCTTAAATGGGTGAGCTGTATGGTGTGTGAATTACGTCTCAATAAAGCTGTTAAAAGAAAAAAGTGGAAAGAAGAAAAGAGGCATCTGAAGGAAAACTGATAAATCTTAATGATCAGTATGTTTAAGTGTTTGTTGTATTATTTTCTTTACTTGGCTATATTTTGATTTTTTCATATTAAAAAATAAAATATTTTTTCAAAGAAAAGGGAACCCTCACCAGGCAATTTCATGTTACTTAATTCCTTGTTTATTACCTAGGTAAAATCCTCATACATGTCTCCCTACCACAGGGCATATCACTAAGAATCAGAGACTGTGTTACAGAAGGGGCTACTTGTCTAAGAATCGGGAGACCTGAGTCTGTCTCTCCCTAACTGACTGGTGCCCTTGGGGAAGTTACTGAACAACTTTGAGTGCCAAGTTCTCATCTTAGACCTTTTCTCTCCCTTTCGCAGGTGTCCAGGAGAATCAAATGAGATCACAGTTTAAGTGTATTGTAACATAAAGAATGACGGACGAACATACAAATTTCAGGAAGTACTAAACACATGATTGAACATGCAGAAAATCCACAGATCTCATCGTGGGCAAAGCTTTGACCCTTTGCCAAGCCCATTACAGGCACTGCTCGAAAGCATCCCCACTTGCGTGCACCAGACCATTCCTTGCAGGAAGCAGAGGGAAGTATGAGGAATCACGGGGGAGGCAAGCCACCTGCTGTACGCTGTGACCTCAGCAAGTCAGGACTGCTCCAAAGCTCTGCATAATTCTGTATGTTTTCACTTTCAGGTGTGCTTTGGGGAGAAGTAAAACAATAAAAGCCAAGGACTCTTTCTGGTGGGAGAGGACAGCATGGCCCTAGAGTGGTACCCACTTCCCCAGAAGCATCCCCACCAACTTTGGCGAGATGCCCACTCCTTCCTCATTCCCTTGAAGCAGGGGTTGGGGCCCACTCACCAACGCTGGCCATGGTGTACTGGTAGGGCTCTGAGAGGAAGTGTGGGAGGGTGAGGACGAAAGCACCCAAAGCTAGGAGGAGACCCCCAATGCCGATCAGCCGTGGACGGTGCACCCGGCTGCCAAAGTAGCTGACGAAGATGATGAGGATGGCGTTGCTGATCTGCAGAGAGAGCAGAGGGGCCGAGTGAGGCCTGAGCCTTCGTGCCTACTCACACACAGGGAAGACTTGATTGTACCTGGCCCAGGAAAAATAGGGATGTAAGAGGCCACCTTGTGTCAGCCTCACTCAGAGAGCCCCACAGTGGGCCCAGGATATGCTGATTCAGCTCTCCCCTATTGTCAGAATCCCTTCCCAGCCTCAGCCTCTTGGACTAGACAAAGGAAAGTACCTAGGGACCATGAAAACTTCATAGCCTAAATTTCAACCATCTTAGGCCCAAACCTCTTGGGGCAAAGTCCCAGGAAGCTTCCAGTTCCAGCTGGCTCCTAGGAATAGTACACACTGACTAAATGCCCTAGGGACACTGGCTGAGTAATCAGAAAAACCACCAAGCAACGTGTACTATCTCATTTCCTCAAGCAACAACTCTCTTTTTGTGACAACAGTGGGACTCAGAATAGTGGGTAACTTGCCCTGGCTATGAGGTTAGGGACTGCCCGAGTTTAAAGCAGCCAGTGTTAACTGGACTGGTCTACTGCCACTTAGAGAAGCAGGTTTCTGCCCCACAACTCTGCTACTGACCTGGCCCTGGCCCTCCTTGGGCTTACTTCCACTCCTGTCAGTGAGGGAGGAGGACTAAGACACCCCAAGCTCCTTCCCAGCTCTAAACATCAGTAACTCCACGTTCTTGGTGCTCCCTGGAATGTGTGGTCTCTGAGCCCCACCTGAGCCAGGGAAGGGAAGTGAAGGCTCGGCTTAAGGAGCAAAGTCTTAAATGATAAAACCGAGTGTGGGCAGATCTTCTGACTACAACTCTGTCCAAAGAGATGATCCTCTGGCCCAGAACGTAAGCTCCTCTGGACTGGAGGAGCCCTGAATGTCAGTACCCACAGCCCTGCCCCATTCACACCACGGTCTCCTTCTGGCTGGAAAAGCAGGTGCACCTGTCTCAGGAAATAGGAGCCAGAGTCTTGGTATGTGGCTCTTACCAAGATCATCAACTGGCCACATCTCAGTTTTCTTACTTGACCTCTCAGCACCATGTGATTCAGGGAACCATTCCTTCCTGAAACATTTCCTTCACTGAGTTTCCTGGACACCACTTCTAGTTTTCTTCCCCTGGTTGTTCCTTCTCCCTTTCCTTGGCTGGTCTCTCCTTGCCTCCCTGAGCTCTCAGCTCTCCCAACTCAGGCCCTGAACCTCCGCTCTTGTCTTGGTGAGCTCATCTGGTCCCATGGCTTTCCATGTTCTGTGTGTGCTCCTAATTCTCACAGGCTTAGCACACCCAAACCTCATGCCTCCTCACCTACCTGAAAACCTGGGCTCCCACCCCAGTCCTCTTCATCTCCGTAAACGGCACCTGCATCCTACCAATGGCTCAACAAAACACCTGAGCATCATCGCTGACGGCTCTTTCATCAGCCACATGCTGCCGTCAGCTAGCCCACTGAATGGACCTTCAATGACCACCTGGAAGCTGCTTCTCTCCACCTCTCTCACTACCTCCTGGTCTGAGCCGTTGCCGTCTCCTCCCTGAACTTCTCACAGCGGCCTCCTCCCTGGGCCCCCTGCCTCCACTCTTGCCTCCCTGTAGCCTGTTCTCCACCCAGCAGCCAGAGTGGTCCTGCTGACACCTCAGGCCACTTTCCCTCTGTTCAAACCCCAAACAGTAAAGGCAAAATCTGCCCCAGAGCCTCCACAGCCCTACAGAGCCAGTTCCCCTCCCCCATGAAGGCTCTGATCTGCTCTCCTCCATCCCTCCCCTTCACTCCGCCCCAGCTGCTCTCTGCCTCCAGCTGCTCTCCTAGCTGCACACATGCACCCTCCTCAGGGCCTTTGTACTTGCTGCCCCTTTCTCTTACTTGTCCACAGGGCTCCTGGACATCTAACCTACTTTAGACCTATGCTCAGATGGAAACTTTTCATGAAGGGCTTCTCTGAAAAATGAAGGGGTGGCGGTGGATGAAATGGGTGAAGGTCCTCAAAAGGTACAAAATCCCAACTATAAAAGAAGTAAGTACTGGGATGTGATGTCAAGCATGGTGACGACAGTTAATAACTCTGTCCTCTTTATTTGAAAGTGGCCGAGAGAGTAGATCTTAAAAATTCTCATCAGAAGAAAAAAATGTTGTAACTACGTGAGGTCCTGGATGTTAACTAGACTCATTGTGGAGATCGTCTTGCAATATATACAAAGGTCCAATCGTTATGTTGCATACCTGAAACTAATACCATATTGAATGTCAATTATATCTCAATAAAAAGGAGGTAAGTATAACTTATCTTTATAATAATTAAATACCACTTATAATTTAAGTTCTATTTAAATATTTTTATAATTTAAATAGTTATTTCAAATATAGCCGCCACGGCCCTCCATGACTTTATTTTTCTTCATGGCACTTGTTGTAGTCTGATCTACCAAGTTTTATTTATTTCTATAAACAAATGTTACATTTATCACTAGAAGGATATATGAGCAGAGAGTTTGTCTGTTCATTCCTGCCTCCCCGTGCCTAGAGCAGTGTTTGACATATAGCTGGGGCTTTTGAAATATTTGTTGAATAAGTGAATGAATGAACAAATGATAGGCTTTTTCAAGAGGACACAGTTGCCCAGAAGACCCCTCCTTTGTCACCAAGAGTAAGATTGTTTATAAAACACACAGAAAGGGGGAATGAAGGTGTGTGTGGGGAGGGGAGTAACCCAGCCTGATCCAGGGGGTTGCTCCAGCCTCTGGCCAGATATCATTCTAGGAGATTCTGAAACGCATTCCTGGAAGCAAAGCATTATTCTTAAGCTTCTTAGATTTTATCTCCCCATGTTCTTATTTCTCTATCATTTTTTAAAGACATGATTGTGTCGGACTATACCAGCTAAGCTAACTGAAGCGGACTTTAAAAGGTCTGGGTGAGGGATGGCAGAGTGCCCCAAAGGGGGAGGAAGACCTGGGGCACCCAGGCCCTACCCATCTGGACTGGCCCTTCCAGCACTCCCAGGGCATGTGCTCGTTTCTCAGCGGGAAGTAGGACCTCCACAGCTGTTACGGCTGATGCTGGCTTAAGTCCTTGGTCTCCAAACTTTTCTTCAGCAGTGGAGTCCCTTTGCAAAAACAGTTTTAACGTAATATAACATAACATAGCATAACATAACATAACATAAACATAACATAACAAACATATATTATGCTATATGGTACAATGTAATATAATATGATATGACACAATATAATATATCATTTTATAGATATACGTGAAGCTGTTCTAGCTGAGGAGAGGAGGGCCTCTATAGTCCATGCCTCAGCCTCTCAGCCCCTCTACAACCCAAGCTCCACTGTAACACATCCATGCCCATCAGTGTCCCCAATCCAGGGGGCCCCAGGCAAACTGGTGGGAGGCATTAAGGATGGGGCCTCGAGGGCTCCCTCTGATTTTGTCTGCTCTGGCCTGGCCTTTAGCAGTGGGCAGGAGAAGCGGCCGCTTCACTGGGCAAGATGCTTGTGTCTTCTCCCATCAGCCAAGCTCCTCATCCTGCTGCTGGCCCTTTGTACCCAGCCCTCCTCTCCCCTTCACTCACCCATCAGCCTGGAAAGCTCTGAGACTGGGCAGCAGCTTGATTCTAATATGACACTGAGTAGCAGTGTGCTTAGAACACTGTGTTGAGAAGAGTCAGAATCTGGACTCAGCTGGAAAGACGACTGTGGTTGATTAGTGACACCTGCTAGGGATAGGACTGCAGTGACCCAAATGTCAGAGATTCTGTCTCCCCTCCATGAGTGAGGATGATGTGTGCCAGGGGCATTATTAAAGTCATAGGCCAGCCCAAGGAGGGGCAGTCCGTGGAGGGGTGCCAGGTCCCTGTGCTGTGATCCACGTTGTGCGGGAGCTGGCCGAGTGGCAGGAGCACAGCCTATGTGGAGGCATCACCAGGAAGCCGAGACACAGATGCACAGACAGAGACACACGTGTACACACACACACATACACACACACTAAAACACACAAACATAGACAGGAAGCAGTGGCTCTGGGAGGGAGCTCAGAGGAGAGGGCTTGAGGCCAGCAGGAGTGACTGATGGGCCACAGGGCTGCAGCTGGGCAAGTACCTGCACGTCCCAGGTGCAGAGACAACCCAAGTTGGGGAGTGTGTACAGAGATTCTGGCCATGTGTTTGCAGGAGAGGATTTGGGGCAGAGCAGGGCTGTGGACAAGGGAGTGAGGAGGACTGGTAGAAGCAGTGGGTTGGGGTTCAGAGGGGGGCCTTAGCATGGGGGCCATCAGCCAGACCTGGGCTCGGACGCTGGCTGCCCTGTATGTGTGGCTGTGGCCAGCCTCGATGGGGCAATCAGGCTTTAGCTGTAAGCTTCCTCATCTAGAACCACGGCTAGGCAGAGATGCCCCCACTCCTAGGACCTCGAGGGGGATCTGGCCCAGGGCAGGGGCTCTTGAGGGCACTGCTGTGTAGGCCACTGAGAGTGAAGGAGTAAAGGGCAAAGGAGCGTTTCCAGCTGGGAGCAGGATTGGGGATGGGGAAATAGAAAGGGGCCAGCTAGAAGCACCCCCCACCTTTTTTTTATGGCTCTGTCTTAGAAGCTGGCCTGGTGGAGGCCAGGCTTTAAATTACTACATCAACCTGAATTTTCACTAAGGGAAGATGGAATTCTGCTCTGGGAGGTAGAGGCCATGCCTCCACCCCAAAAGAGTGGGCCTTGTGGAAAGAGAAGAGAGAAGCCAGGCCAGGGAGACCCATCGCTTCACGTGGAATGACCAGCGTTGCAACCACAACAGAGGGGGCTCTCCTCTGCCTCTTCCTCCCTGGTTTCCAGTGACTCCCAGCTGACCCTGCCCTCTGACCTCCCACTACTGATCTCTGGGGCCACCCCATCTTCCTCTAACTCTGATATGCGGTCACTGAGGGACAGTGTGAAATCCCCATTGCCTGGACGTCACAGAGAGCTGACCTTGTATGGAAGTCAAGGCCACTGTGGGGCTCTGGCTCCTGTGATCCTCCTAAGACAGGAGCTACGGGGCCCGGGGCTGCTCCTCCACCCGCACGCCTAAGACTCATCTACCCGTGGACCATGGATGAGCAGAGGCCACGTAACCTTGTGCCTGGTCACAGAACTCAATGAGATAGACGCAGAGTTGGGAGGCAGACGGCCCAACACAGCCGGGGCAAGCCACGGCACACACTCAGCCCCAGTGCCCGCATCTGCCGGGTGGGGCGAGGAGAGCACTTGCTCACAGGGCTTCAGTGACTGCGCCCCAGAGTCCGGCGCTGCCAGAGGCTCTTTGCTCAGTGCCCAGTGCAGGGAAACCTCAGGAAATGCAGCTGCCACCACACCGGCCCCATCTAGCAGTCCCTAGTCCCCATGTGTACCTCCCAGCTCCCCGTTCCCCTGCCCCTCCCAGAGCCCCCAGTTGAACTCTGGATTGGGATGGGTGTGCACAAGTGGGGTCTGAGGGACCAGAACCTCCTGCTTACCTCATTCAAGCTGGAAATGAGCCCCGAGGAGGAACTGGAGAGCCCAAAGCGCTTCTCAATGGTGGTGAGGCAGCTCTTGAAGTAGGCGCTGTAGAGGAGCTGGCAGAGCTGCAGGAGGCCGTGGCAGAGCACGAACACCTGTGGGAGGAGACACGGGCTACTGAGGCCTCCAGATACCCAGCCCCGGCCACGACCTTGGCCTTTCACTGTGGGACCTCGGAGCAGGGAGGCTAGCAGTCTGGCCTGTTTCCTCAACTGTTACGTGGGAACACTCCCACCATGGGATGGTCTTGAGGGTGAAACAGTATCATGGTTACATCCATGATTTATACCCCACTCCAAGGACTGGCTCAGTGCCGTCCACTATTCCCTTCATTCCTGCCATTCACATCCGGTCAGCATAAACGGCCCTGCAGGACCACGGTGCTGGAGAAGCACCCCCAAGGCAGGGGCCTGACTCACCAGCCCCACATCCAGGGCACTTAGCACTGGGGAGTGCCCTCACTGCACCACTGAGCCCAGCGGGCACTGCTTTGCCCTCCCTCCAGTGTCCTGGGAGGCCTGGAGGTGACTCTCCAGCCAGTGCAGCTCACTCCCAGGGGCACAACAAGCCCTGGGTCACATTGCTTCACTCCTCTTGACCTGTCCTCCATTCCCCTCTCCAGCATCAGCACCCATTCTCTGAGGCTCACCTCTAATTCACCGTGATGGCACAAACCACCTGGTTTGAATGGCTACACCCCCCCAGTCCACTTCTCATCTGGGGTGTCTCTGGTTGTGCTTGCTTCTCTTGCATGGATGATAGGGGTCCCGGGAAGGCCCCAGGACATTGTCCCTGCATCCCACCCCGCCCCATAAGCCTGTCCCTGTGGGTCTGAGTGAATGTGAATGTGAGTTTTGGGTTGATGGGACAGATACACAGCTGTGAGGGTGGACAGCAGTTTGTAGCATCTGGAGTTGGCTCCAGGCTGAGCTCTGGGATTTCCTGGGTTCTCGGCTGGTGTGCTGGGCCAAAGCAAGCTCAGAGCCAGGAGCCCCACATCCCTGAGCTCCCCTGTGAGGTGCCCCTTTCTGGAGACTGTACTTTTCCTTCAGGGAAGGGTGGGGTGCCCTTACGTTTCATGGCCTGCCAAAGTTCTTCTCTTAATTGAAGGCCTGGCATCTTAGCACAGCTATTGGGGCTCCACCTTCATTTCCGTTTCCTTGCACAGCTGAGCCCACCCCATGTGCAGGGGCCTCTCTCCAGGCTGTGGGATCAGAGCTGACTTTCCCTCTCCTACCTGCCAGGGCAGAGCCTTTGTGAGGCCAGCCTGGGGCTTCTGACAGGGCCCGGCACTGGCTGCCTGCCCATGCATCGGACTCACGGTTTCCAAACCCAAGGAGGCCGTTACACCCACAAAACCACATGCCTCTCCCGACTGCCTCTTGCCTGAGCCCACGGCCACCTAGCTCCTCACCAGGGACAGAAGGAAGCCTGCCCATCTGCAGGGGGAGGGAGCACTCCCTCCCTGCCTCCCTAGGGAGACTTTGCTCTGCTTCCCCTCATGTACTGGCATTCTTGAGATTTTATAATAAAGGTGTTTTTGAAAACTAGTCCCCTGTGTTTTACAAACGGGGAAACTGAAGTCCAGAGAGGGGGATCCCACGTGCCTGCCCAGCATCCTGCACACAGTCGGCCCTCTGGGCTTAGAGGCCAGGCACTGGAGATGCCTGGAGTGGACCAGTCTAGGGCTGCCTGTCCCTCCACCGAGCTCCCTTAGCCAGTTCCCGCCCTCTTGGGCCCCAGATTTCCCTGTGAGGTAATTGGGCTAAATTGGTGGCTCTTAACTCAGTTTTGATCCATAACCACCTGGTGGGAGGTGGTGGTGTCTTTGAAATCTAGAAGTCAGGCCCAACCCCAGGCCTCCTGAATCAAAATTGGGGGAAGCCCCCTGATTTCTCCCCGGCGCCTCTCCTACTGGCCCTGTGCTATGCGAGCAGGTCCTGCCTCACCCCCAAACCACCTCTCTCCCTGGATTACTGCAGCCATCTCTCATTGGCATCCTGTCTGCCCCCTTAAAACCCTGCATCCCACCACCCCAGAGACAGCTTTCTCAAACTCAAATGCAAGCAGGCTGTCCCTCAAGTAACATTGCTCACTGCCCCCTGCCCCCATTCCCTATAAGATAAAAACCCGTGCCTTTGGTACAGTATTGAAGATGTTACAGATCCTAGACCTTGTCTGTCTCCGGCTCCATGCCTTGCTGTGGCTGTGTTTCATGAAGACTGGCTACACCTGTATTTCCTGTCCTACACGCATCTCTTCCAGTGTGACAATGACATTCCTTCATCAAGAGGTGGGGTCTCTGTTCCCTCGCTTTCAATCAGGGCTGGTCTTAGTTGCCTGCTTCTAATGAAGAGAATGAAGCAGCAGTGATGCTGTGTGACCTCTGAAGCTAAGTCTTGATAGAGGATCCATCTGGCTCCGTCTCTCTTGGGACCGTTAGAAGCCAGACATCACATCGTAAGGAAGCCCGGTCTCCCCTGCTTGTGGAGCGGTCACATGTCGCTGTTCCCGCCAACTCCAGCTAAAGTTTCGGTCTGCAACCAGCATCTGCTGCCAGACATGTTACTGAAAGAGTCTCCAGAGGATTCCAGCCCCAGCCTTCATGCCAAGTGGAGCAGAAATGAGCTATCCCACCAAGCTTATGTAGACGACAGATGTGTGAACAAACTGAATGCTGTCATTGTTGGAAGCACTAAGTTTTGGGTCGCTGTGTAATGCAGCACTAGATGCTTGCAACACCGGCTGTCACACACCTTGCCCTTCAAACTTCATCAAGGTCATACGACTCAAGTTCCCCACAGCACACATTCATTGTCTGTGTCTTTGCTCGCTATCTGGACAGAATTATCTTCCCCTTCTTGGTCTGGATAATTACGTCTTCTTGGCTTGTTTTGCCCAGCATGGGGCTCAGTCATGAGTCTAGTTCAAAGTCAGTTCTAAAAATCCCAGTACACCATTGCTGCAGAGGCCTCTTGCTGGCTTGGTTCATGGTTGGCCTTAGAAGGAGCATCTGGCAGGAGTGAGGGCTGTCATAATGGCCTGGGAAAGAGTACGAGGTCGGACCAAAGGATGGCCGTGGGGATGTAGGGAGAGAGCTGCAGAGGTTGAATGGACAAGTCTCTCACCGATTCAAGGTGGAAGAAAAGGGGCAGAGTCTCCAGCCTCAGGGCCAGGAATGGGGCAAGGCCATTCCTGAGACAGGGGCCCCAGGTGGAGGGGTGTATGCGGAGAGGGAGGGCAGCGAGTTCAGTTTTTGAACACCTGAGTTTCTGAGCATGAAGCTCAGAAAAGACCAGTCTCCCTCTAACCAAATTAGTAATGAATTAACAGGAGGGACTAACCTCTACCAAATTCCCCAGCAGTGTCATGAGAAGAAGGTGAGGACAATGGGAGAAAAAAATCTGTCTCAGGTCTTTTCTGAAAGGTGTGCCTTGGATCTTTCCAGAAAAATGCAGAAATCCCCCATTTTATACCCCCTGATATGAGGTGGGAGACCCACTTAGAGTCAGTCAGCACCTTTCCACGTCCTATGCCCCTCACAGGTCCATCACCAGCTTCTGGCCACTGCAGCCCTGTCGGGTCTGGGTGCGTTCTGGGTGTCTTGGCAGAAAGGCTGGTGTACACGTGGGCCCTTCATTCCAGTGGCTTCAGCAGATGGAGAGGAATGAGAAGATATATGGCCACAAGGGAGAAGATGCCAGCAAGGAGAAGAAGTGGATTGATGGTCCTTGCAGAGCATTCTGGCCAGGGCCACTCAAGGTCAAAGCCATCTGGCCCCACTTACTGAGCTGACACGGACTGGACCCTGGGGCCATCATCCAGGTTGCTTGACCTTACCAAGAACTCATTCCATGGCCAACATGAGATGGAGCAACAAACTGTCAACACTTACAGGAGAAATAGAACATGGGTTTTAAGTCTCTGGGGACGCACTGGTGGGAGGCGTGTTGCACAGAGGAGGGATACTCAGTAACTGGAGACTTCTTCCACTCCCCTCACTTGCCAAGTAACTGAGCCTCTCTGTTGCTGCCAGAGAAGTCTAGAGCCGAATTTCCCACAAGGTGCCACGCAGAACACCCCTCACTCGAGATGCTTGAAGTTGAGAGTATTCCCAGGAGAAAAAAGTTTGGAGAATTTTGCTTACGATCATCCTGCCTCATGAATATTTACAATTCATATTAGCATATTAAAGACTTTGAGAAAGTCAAGAACTGCTTAACTGCTTTATCCAAATTTCTCCATACTTCTCCAACCATGGAGACCCCCTCACCCAACATACACTTCTAAAAAGTATACTTAACAGATATTAGCACCTTGCAAAATATACTTTGAGGGAGATCCCATGTCACTTTTAGAAAGCAGCTTACTGGTAGAATCAGCCCTGTGAATTCTTCACAAAACGAAAATAAAATAAAGATGTGTTACACGGCCCTATCATCTTTCATAAAATAGCGCACCATGATTTCCTATACCCTCACTCTACTTTTTTTCTTTCTCGTGGCACTTCCGGCTTCCTAAAATTATATCATTCTCACTTACTGGCATGTCCCCCCACCAGACAGAGACTGCAGGGAAGAAAGATGATGAATGGTTTTTAGCGTGCTACTTCCCCATTGCCTGGAACAGTGCCTGGTCCGCAGCTGGGGCTCAGTTGTCAAGTGAATGAATGTGTCTTTTTTTTTTTTTAAGATTTTATTTATTTATTTGACAGACAGAGATCACAAGTAGATGGAGAGGCAGGCAGAGAGAGAGAGAGGGGGAAGCAGGCTCCCTGCTAAGCAGAGAGCCCGATGCGGGACTCGATCCCAGGACCCTGAGATCATGACCTGAGCCGAAGGCAGTGGCTTAACCCACTGAGCCACCCAGGCGCCCTGAATGTGTCTTTAAATGTGCTAACTCATGGAGTCCTTGCTCCAGAAACTCGTCCGTCAGAGTAGCCATTCAGGAAGCTTGAAGGAAGCCATGCAGGTTCGTTGCAATGGTCTGTCCTCAGTCATGTATGAACCCCTCCTTCAGTGCTGCCTTAGGTCAGTCCTCAGGCTATAAAGGTCACCAGGCACAAAGAAGCATGTGTCCTCTCTGCTGCCCCATT